AGAGAGCAACCAAAAATTCTTGTGGACAAAAGAATGCGACGATGCATTTAACAACTTAAAGGAGGCTTTAACATCTGCTCCAATCCTGACGTATCCTCAGCACGGCCGACCATTTATTCTCGACTCCGACGCGAGCAATGAAAGTGTCGGTGCTGTTTTGTCCCAAGAAATAGACGGCCAAGAACGTGTAGTGGCGTACTGGAGCAAGTGCCTGTCTGAACTGGAGAGGAATTATTGTGTCACCAGGAAAGAGTTGCTCGCCATAGTCAAAGCTGTAGAACAGTTCCATCACTATCTATACGGCAGAAAATTCCTGCTCCGCACCGATCATGCATCATTGACCTGGCTTTTAAATTTCAAGAATCCTGAGGGTCAAATAGCCAGGTGGATACAGAGACTCCAAGAATATGACATCACTATCCGTCATCGTAAGGGATCATCACACGGAAACGCCGACGCCCTGTCTAGAAGACCTTGCCAAGAAAACTGCCGATATTGTTCCAGGGTGGAAGCGAAATACGAGCTGCTGACTCCGGTCGCAAGACAAATTACAACATCAACATCCGCTGATCGAGAACTGTGGAGTGATGATGAAGTCAGGAAAGACCAGCTGGAAGACCGCGACATTAAACCCATAATTGATTTAATGGAGTCGTCAAACAGAAAACCTACCTGGCAGGACATTTCTATCTGTAGTCCTACAACCAAACAATATTGGGCACTCTGGGATTCACTTCACATTAGAAAAGGCGTCTTATACCGGAAATTCGAATCGGATGATGGGAAGACGTTCCGATGGCAGCTGATACTTCCAAGATCCCGCATTCCTGATGTCCTTAAAGAACTACATAACACCCCTACGGGGGGTCACTTTGGAATAATGAAGACCTTACAGAGAGTTCGTGAGCGCTTTTACTGGAATAATGCAAAGGATGACGTGCAAAAGTGGTGCCGATCTTGCGATGCCTGTGCAGGTCGGAAAGGACCGAAGAGGCGCAGCCGAGGCAAACTGCAACGTTACAACGTAGGCGCGCCTTTTGAACGTATCGCCTTTGATATCTTGGGACCTCTGCCACGAACTGCTGATGGCAACAAATACATACTCGTTGTCGTTGATTACTTCACCAAGTGGCCTGAAGCGTATCCTATTCTTGATCAAGAGGCTTTTACAGTAGCTGAGGTGATGATACAGCACTGGATTTCCAGGTTCGGAGTGCCTCTTCAGTTACATTCCGATCAGGGAAGGAATTTTACCTCGGTAGTAATCAAAGAACTATGCAAACTACTCGGCATTGACAAGACCCAAACAACGCCATTACATCCCCAGTCGGACGGCATGGTAGAGAGGCTCAATCGAACCATCCTTAATAACCTCTCATTAGTGGTTTCCAGAAACCAGCAGGACTGGGACAAGAAATTATCGCTGTTTTTACTGGCTTACCGCAGCAGTGCTGTCCACGAGACTACCGGCCATCTCCATCACAGATGCTCTTCGGTTGTGACCTTCGTCTGCCTTGTGATCTATGTTTGGCCGCCCTCCGGATGCTCCTTCATCGTCTGAGGATCTGAGGATATATTCAAGATCTCCAGGCCCGGTTTGAAGTGATGCACAACTTTGCATGAGAGCGAGTCAACTTAGCGACGGAGAAGATGAAGACCCGATACGACACAAGAGCTACTGAACATCAATTCCCCGAAGGAGACAAGGTGTGGTTGTGGAATCCGACTCGACGGAAAGGACTTTGTCCGAAAGTACAGTCACCTTGGGATGGCCCGTACACAGTTCTAAACAGGCTGAATGACGTCGTGGTTCGGATTCGTAAGTCTTCGAACTCTAAACCTAAAGTCGTTCATTACGACAGGTTAGCTCATTACTATGGCCATAGTACGTAATGTAAATAATTGTAAATAGTATCAGACCATGGTCCTTTATGCTTTTAAATGTGTATTTGATTTGATTTGTATTTAGTATTTGATTTGCATTTAGTATTTGTATTTAGTATTTGATTTGCATTTAGTATTTGATTTGTATTTAGTATTTGATTTGCATTTAGTATTTGATTTGTATTTAGTATTTGATAGCATTTGATTTGTTTAAGTTAGTTATTGCATTTATTGTTTATGTTGTTTGATATTGTAATGTAATGTTTATGCCTCAGTTGCATTTATGCCACAGTTGTAAGTTTAGCTTCCTGTCCAGGGATTGTACTGCCCGGGACGTGCAGTCCTTGGGAAGGGGGCGGTGTTACGAATTTGGTATTTAAAAAGCTAATGATAGTTCAATTATAAATTAAATGGTTTTATTTCTCGCGCAGTGCAGCGCGTGACGAATATTAAAGAAAGCTAAGCCGGAAAATTGAAAATACAAGAGCGCGTGCATTAAATAAATAAATATATCTCTTTTGATTTCGAGAAAGTACTGGAAAATTCTAGCGCGTGATTTTAAAATCTTATAAAAGGAGGAAAACATCTCAGTTTGTTGTAGTTGCTTAGTTTGTTGTTGTTTAGAAAACTGCTCTTGTTGATAGTTGCGAATTCGCGGATTAGCTTTCTTTAGCTGTTTTGAATTACGTTCTATTGGACATTTGAGTAGTTAAAAGATAACTACTGTGAGATATTGTAATACTTCATGATAATTTGAGAAGATTTAAGCATTTTTGTTGTGATAATAATAAATTTTTGTTCATTTTTCATCGGACTTGTGCATTCATTTCATAACGAACCCGTACGCACGCAACGATATATTTCCTGTAACGGCGTTGCACTAAGATCACTAAGGCCAGAGAGCACTCGCCTGTAACGGCGTTGACCACTAAGGGCAGAAGTGGTGGCCATTTTATTGTGAAAACACCTAAAAGAGGCCACCGTTACCATCCTATAAAAAGACAAACAGTTTTTACATCCATGCCTTTTCCGAGATTCGAAACCGGGCCCTTCAGTATCGCAGTCAGGCTGCCTTAACCACTACACCGTCTGAGAGGCTTCATAGATATACAGTACAAAGTCCGTAATCCGGACGTCCATTATCCGGAATGATCTATAATCTGGACCTCAAAGAAAAAACGTTTTTTGTATGCTTTATGCATGAGCACTTAATGTATAACGGACGGCTAAAATTAGCTAGGCTAAAATTATCTTTACTGATTCTAAGGCATTTCAGTTAATGTTTCAGATCGCTCTGTTCCTTAATCTTCTAACTGGATCTGGGTTATTATTTTTTTTTGCAGACTGTTAGAGCAATTTTATAAAAATTAAGCTTGAACTTTCGATTATGTCAAAAAGAGTTTCCAATTCTGGAGCTGCCAAAGGATCTACAAAGCGAAAGCATGTTTCGATGTCCAGCAAACAAAAAGTGGAATTTCTACAAAAAATGGATAAAGGCATATTCGTGTCAAAATTATGCGAGGAGTATGGCATTGGAAAGTCAACTATATATGACATAAGAAAAAAAAAAAGGAACTTTTTGAATTTTTTGTGGAAGCAACTTAAACAACTTATATTGAAAGAAATGTTTAATAAAGTAAACAAATAAATATTAAGCTTTTATTTTTGTAAATGTTGATACCCTTTAGATCATAATTGCTCTTTATTTCATAAATTACGGTTTCCTATTTTAATTGTATAATTTCTGCATGTCAGCCTACCAGATTTAAATTGATGATCTATAATCCGGAAAATCCGGAATCGCCGAAGTCCCGACGAGTCCGGATTACGGTATTATTCAAAAATAGAATGGTGTTATGAGCCATCAAACTTGAAAGATATATTTTTTTTTCCAAAAGTTATCTATAGTTTTAGAGATCATTATACGCTTCTTTTATAGTCGAAGAAACGTGTAATGGATTTAACATTGATCTTTATTTTACATTCACTCAGCTAGACTTCTAGTACATGGATGTCTATTTGAAGTGCTTTGCAGCCTGGAACAAAACGAACAAAACGTACATTCTTCGCGAGACTTGCAGTATCATTCACGTAGATTGCAAAGGTAGTGAAAGGTATTTGGGAAATAATGCGGTCTTGTTAAATAGCGTACGCTCAAGATGAGAGAGACTTGTGGAACGCTAAGATAAATCGATATGTCTGCCTGTGAGTAGGGTTTCAGCAATGATTATTATACTGACTATTATTATTATTAGATTTTCTGAAATATTCAGGATGTAAAGGTCTCCTCAATAAGCAAATACTAATACTGTATATAACTATACTGTTTATACTAATACTGTTAGTAATACTGTTTATACTAATACTGTTAATAAACAAATACCTTTTATGTTTATACATAAAATAATTTGTTTATGTTTATACATAAACAAATACAGGAGGTATTATTAAAGCTTTCTCCATATCAAAGCAGAAAGCACTGTAACTTGTGAAATTTATAATTTACTTAATTCACAGTATACAATCATATATATTATGCCTATGATAAAATTATTATGAATTATAGCGGATATTTTAAGATAGTTGTAATTAAGATTTTAAAGGAATGAACAAATGAATTGAAATAAACTTGATTTCATTGTTGAATCAATCGCAGATTTTTGAAGAATGATCAAATCTGAGGTTTTCTAAAGTAAAAATTTTCTGTACTTTATTAAAAAAAAGAGAAGTACATATTGTACGGGAGATTTAGCTGCAATTAACTATGGTAAAACTGAAGTAAAATTTCGATTATTTGAACCTTAATTGTTTGGAATGTTTGATAAATCAGACTGAAACTAAACATGCAGTTTGTGAAATAGTAGTTATATTTATAAAGTCAGGTTTTCTATTTATTAAAAATTTACTTCTGCTTCTTTTAGTTTAGCTTTATTGAAGTTCGATAGTACACTAAAACTGAGAGTAATATTTTCTAGCTCATTTGACAGAAAAATGCAATTTTTTCACACGTTTGCAGTCGTTAAACAAAACTTGCATATCGCATGTTATCTGAAGTTGTGGCAAGGTGTTCCTGGGAACTTGATTTTGCAACAGCATTTATGTCAAATAGCAATAAAAAGTAGTAAAATATAGATTTATTTGTACAAAATTACATTTGTTTTGGCAAATATTTAAGGTTCTGTTACACACTTGAGAACAATAACATTGTGATCAGATGATAATGCACAAAATACGACAACATTTTAGTATTTGAAATTAAGAAAGCAACTTATTTTCTTCTAGCAAACAACTTTGCAATGAATGTAGAATGTCTTGTGAATTACTTTAGATCCTTATCTTAATGGTTTCTACTGTTATTTTTCCTCGCTTTATTATTTTAATTCTGGTTGCAGCGTAAGATATATCCTGATTATCTGGACAGAAGCTCATGCTCATTATAAAATACTTATTAACGACTATGAGATTTGCGTAAATTCAATTCAGTAAAAGGTTTTGTATAGCAAATTATTTTTCGTGTATTATATCTATACATGAAAGGCTATATTAAGTAGGAACATTTTACTTAATTGGTCTATTTGTCCTTTAGGACATTTTACTTCACTAAGATTCCGTCTTGTGGAAATGCTACAACTTCATGGAGGATTTATTGCTAGAGGTGGAAGGGTAGTTCTTCCAGTTGCTTTGTAGAGTATCTGCAGGTTGCAGATTATCAGTATTAGTCAATGTTAGTCAATTAGTCGATGTTAGGCGCATTTTTTACTAATATGTCTTATTTTGTTTGAGGAACTGACACTTATCGCTGTTTATAGCATTAAAAGGAAAATACTATTTTTAAATATCTTAAAATCTGGCTTGATTATCTGCCTGCTGAATATAGTTTTCGCCTCACTGTGGCATAAAATGGTTATAACTGACATAAAGTGGTATCTCTTAGGAGAAACTAATAAAAGTATTTGAATTTTGATTAACAATATTTACTAACTTAATAAATTCTTTTAATGCATAAAAAGTACATATTTTAATTAATATATATAAATATATATCCATAAGTAGAAACAATTTGTGGATATCAATTGTATTAATCAATATGTAATTCTAATAATAAAAAGAGTAAATATATCAAATTTTGCCTATTTAAATCATTCTATTTCTACAAAATTATGAGCTTAAAATTAATTTTTAACGAGAAAAAATGCAATGCATCCTTCCCTTTCAGAAAACAAGTTGGAATAGTTTTAGTTAGACAATAACTCAACATTGTGTGGCAATATGCTTCGTTCATGGTACGTGAGATCTGTATTATTAAATCAGTGAGAAGGAAGAGCTAAGGTATTATTTTATGACCTAGTCCCACATTTTGTGCCTTACATCATAGCTTTTCATGCAAAATCAGCTCCGTTTATTAACATACATTTATTTCTCCAGAGAAGTCATAAAATATTTCAGATTTTATATTATGGTCTAATGTGGTGCAACTGAAGATCAATAATTCTTGTTTCTACAATGCTGACAATGCCTGTAAATATCTTTAGGTTTCAAGAATATTATTCAGCTCCTTCTTTATTCACAGCAAATCAGAAAATTCTTTGTGTTTTGTAACACCAGTCAAATTGCTCTCTTTATGTTAACTATTTTGTGGAAAATGTGTTGCAGAAATCGAGGGGTGAAGCTGATGCACATGAACTTTGAATAAATATTATAAATGCGTTATAGGTAAATTTACTTGCTTTGAAAATACATTTCTTTGCTTTAATTAGTGTACTACAAAGCGTTTTTTGAGAGTTTTTGCCAGTTATTGATACGTTTACGGCAGAAAGCATTAACCAGTAATTTTAACTACTTTGGCAGAAACGCACCGGTCCTGCTTAAAATAGAACACTTTTCATAAACGTTGTTGCACATTATGCGTTTATCTACATCATGCAAATATCAATATTTATCAAAGAATACTGTCCCTTACAAAGGAAATATTTCGTTTAAAAGTTAACAGTAGGATCTATGTTTAAAAGGTTATATAGTCAGGTATATCTACATATACATCTTTATCTTATGAGAGTTCTAGCAATATTCAAACACGCGATTAGATCACTTTCCTTCGCAGATATATCATGACTACTGCTACCACCAGTCCGATGAAGACTACCATTGCCAGTGCCATAATACCCATACATCGAGCTCGTCTCCTTCGCCTGTGCAGCAAATGACGTTTCATTGCCAGATCCCATTCTTCTAACTCCCATGGTGTAACAAATCGGTAATTTTCTTCCTAGATCAGGGGGGAAAAAATAATTTTGAGAAATTTTATGAATCTCACGTAAATTTTGATATTAATTACTTAGAGTCTAGGGAAGCAAAAAAATTGAGAACATGATCTCAGTTCTAGTTTTTTTCAATCTTAAACATCTTACAAGATGTTTTCGAACATCAGGAAAGAAACATTAGAATAACTGCTAATATATTCTTCTAACCACCAACAGAAAACGTTTCTTTGTTAGGAAATGTATGGAAATAATTTTCTTTTATATCTACGTATCGAATCAGTAATTACTAAATCATAATCTATCAATTAATCTGAAAAGAAATTTGTTTGAATGCGAAAGCTGGAGAGGAATTACTGTCTAATCAATTCCATTAAAGATATTTTCTCATACTAGTAGAGTAGTAGTAGACATACTAGACTAGTAGACTCTTCTTTATACTTGAAAAATTTTTTTTCTTACGACAGGTTGCCATAAAAGTTTCGGCACATTAAATATACTAATATGTTAAAGATAATATGATAAATGGTTTTCATTGTGTAAGGGTTATTTAATAAATAAGTAGGGGTAGGTAATCTTTATAAAACTCCAGTAAAGAAACATTTTCAAATTTTTCTTTCAGTTGAATGTCACTTTGCAGTTAATACATCATGACATACTAAGATGCTTTTATTTAAATTTTTATTTTAAAATAAATTTCAATGAATCGATTTATATGAATAAAATTCAAACATTTTTTTAAATAAAAATGTGTAAATTTAAATACTTTCATAATTTGCATTTTCGCCGCATTTTAAAAACTTTTGGGCAGCACTTTAGACACTCGTGGCGTAGGGGATTTAAGCAGTTAACTAGAATCAGTAGTGGTTTAAGGGTTTTATTTGGTCGTTCGCTAAGTCGGTGGTAGCCTGCTGTGATCTAATGCCGGATCCTGCCTTAGTTGGAGTTCCTGAAGAAACTGGAAGTTGTAGCTATGGATAATTCATATTGGAATAACCCCGATAAAAGCTCCCATCTAAATTGGTAAGCTAAACATTTTATGCTTATCTTCATAAGAGTAGTGAATTGTGGTTCCTCGTAGGATTATCTTTGAACTGGGAATTTTAGTTTCATCAAGTAGACTGTTATCTTTATATTTTGGCTTGTAAGACTCAAGAAGAGACTCATTCAAATTTTAATTGTAAATGCTATTAAATCTTGGTCTGTATTCCATAATCTCTTCCATCTCGATAACTCGGGAAAAGAAGTTAGTGACACTTTGTAACTGGATACCATAGAGCTAGCTGTATTAGTTATACTAACCTAAACACCTGAAATCTTAAAGAACCCCACAGATAAAATAAAGGTAAAGAAAAGTAAAGAAGGCACAGATAAAGAAAACCATAAAGTAAAGCTGCTATGTCCAGGCCATTCGATCTAAGGAAATAGATTAGTATTATTACATGCTAAGCTGTCACATCAATCCAGAAACCGCAGTGCATGGGCCAACAGCTGAAGTATTCTGCACCAATACATTTCAGTATAAGGAAAAAACAATATTCAAATTAACTAAAGAGAGTCAGATGCGATTTGAGACCGATACCAGAGGACTGGATGTTTTAGATTATACTGGGTTAATTTTTGCTAAATGTGGTCATATGCAACAAAAAGCGAAAGTGTTTGAAAGAATAAATGGAGTTGATAGATTGAGAAAGAAGCATAAACTGAAATTTCAGAATCAAATTAAATGAAAAACGGAGAAGATAGAATCCTTTTCTAAATACTAAAGTATATACTACATTAAGAGCTTATGAAGATATCCTGTTAAAAATCAAGAAGATCAGAATGCTTTTAGAGTGTTGTATGAAACACAGAGTGCCTCGAATGTTCTTTAAAGTAGAAATTACCAGTTTTCAATCCATGAATAAGTTCATGAGTAAAAGAAACATCTACATAATATACACAATTGTGTTCTACATGTTACTTTTAGCCAAACTGTATACAGAAATAAAGATAAAATTAACAGCAGAAGTATTGTAAAATAGATGATAGATTTGAATTAATCTCATGTTATCAGTAGCCAAACATGGAAAATCTATGAGTGGCCCTAGTGTATGAAATCAAGGCGTAGACCGGAAGAATAAACTAAAGGCAACTTGATGTTATAAAAGAAAAATAAGAAAGATCCTAACAAAAACTAGAAAAATGAGTAAGAAATTGCTATACAGTAAGTACTTTGCTCAGAAGCAGCGAAAAAATAAAGCGTAGAAACAGATCGATAATTTAGGATTGAAGAAAACTTTATATTTCCTAAAAACAAAAGTTTTGGCATGCGTTATTCTGGTACATCTAATTTTTATATACAATTCTCTGTTTTAATTCTGTCAAAAATTCAATGTTAATTTGCTGTCTTAGTTAAACCAAAAGCTTTGACTACAACATACATTTCTGCACCAGTGGAAAGCCACCTAGTTAAATTAAAATTCCCGAATGCAAAATTCTGAGATCTACTCTCCAGAACAATTTATGAAAACGTCATGATGGTAATAAAGAAATGCCAACATTTCGTCCTATCCCATATGATCTGATATCTCTATTAGTAAAGAATATTATTTAAAAAGAGCACACTCTAACGAAAATTAAAAGCCCTTTAAAGACTTAATAATTTTTAAAATGAACTTTTCCTCTTCTAATCCTTGCTGTGCTGTTCAAAACTCTTAACAGGAGTTTTGTACTTCTCTCAAGCACTATATCTAAATAATAACTCAGATGTTCTATACAATCTATTAAATTTATCATGAGAGTATTGAATATTGTAGAATTAGAATGAAGTTTATATGTTTCGTTGTTGTGATTGATTCTCCTGATCTTCACATAAACCAGATGAGGTCCACGAAGAGTTAAATTTGTCTCTGGCTCAGCCTTATGACATCCTATAAGTGACACAATGAGTTTCTTAGCTATGTTCCAGTTGTCACTGACAGCAGCCTTACCCGGGTGACGGATAAATGCTTTTTCTGTCTCTCATCCCCTACAATCATTCTGGAAAGGACTTTCAACTCAATGGTAATTCCTCATGCTGCAAAGTTACTATACATCAACAAATATCTAGACCAAATTCAAATCCGGGCTCAACGATTTAGCATCCAGCACCGATAGCCACTGTACCAAACAAGGGGCAGTTTGTATGTAAATTGCAAAAGTCAACATCATCGAATATATCATACATGAAAATTCAGCATTACCGGAAAGCTTTCGGAGGGGATCCGCATTTAAGCCGTATATGAAGAAACTTATAAAAATTCATGCAAGCATCTTCTGAAACATCAAAATTGAAATAAACTACAAGTATCTGTCATATTAACTGACTACTCTAATTGATCAAAACTCAAACACACTACAAGCAGATTTTCATTTATTATCGGTAGAATTTTCAGTTAAAGCTATTTCATTTTTTTATCTGATAGATGACAGAAATTACGATATTTGATTCTGAGACAGATAAATAACATGAAAAATCTTACTGATACTATACTCTAAAGAAGAACTACATTTAAAAATACTTTTCGTTTCGTTTAGATTCGGTAATAAGGAATGAAGGAAGATTCCTTATTATTAAGGAATTCTTTGAAGGAAGATTCGGCTTCCTTCAAGGAAATCTTTAAGCTCACCGCAGTCTTGGATTTTTTCTCTGTAATTCCGTTGGGTAACTTTTGTGGTTCTTCGTCTTTCTTCTTCGCAGAAAGGTTACTAGTAACATCGTCTTCAGTTCCGCCGTCTTTATTTTCGGTCATTGTTGGAGTTGTCACTGTCCGTTCAGACTGCGATGCTTCGTGGATTGTTTCAGAACGGAACTGAACCCGTCGTCCCAGGAAATCTGGACGGACCATTCGACACGTACATAATTCCTATTATAAAAAAATTACTTAAATAAGTTGCAAGCATTACAAAGAAATTTATTTTAAAGTTAACAAAATTAGAATGCTAGAAATAGGATCCATTCGATAATCTGAATGAGAAGAATAACAAAAATTTTAACTAATTTGAGTTGTAGTGGATTTCCGAACCAACGATACAGCTATTATAGTGAAAAATTAAACTGTTTTTAAAATATTCAAGCTAATTTAAGTTCTTTTACTTATATTTATACAAAGGCATTTGAGGAAAAATATAATTACACTACTTCTTTCGGTATCGAAGTTGATTTTCAAACCTAACCGTTTTTTATTTTTAGAACCAACTGATTTTAAAAACAATTCTAGCCTTCTTCAAGTATTTTTAGAAATTTCACATATGTTTATGTTTTATTCTCTGTCCACCAATTTTGTTGCTTAACGTACTATTTAACAGCTATTTTTACCCTTCACACAAATCAACAGATAATACAAGATTCTTGTATAGTAAATTATTTGAATAAAGAGAAAGCGAAACATAACACATCGTGTAAACTTACCGTCTGCTTTTCTGATATAAGCATCCATCTGTCCAGACATATTTATTCTTGAAACGTAGGTAAATTTTTATAGAAAAGAACGTAGTAACAGGAAAAAGGAGACATAAATGAACATGTGCATAATACTACACATTGAATAATCTCTAAGATGGTCACCCGTGGTTTCAAATGATTTCGATCTACACTTAGACTTTATACACTGCCCCCCAAAAGTTAAGGAACAGCATGTTTTACAAGTTCACAGTTACAAAAATGTAAGTAACGTTTAAATTCATATGCATGACAGTTTACGATATTTAAGAAAATATATGCAAAACAATAAATACCACTTTTATTTTATAAAAATGAATACTTATATAGAAGTTGGGGGAAAAAAAGCAAAAATTGTAATTTTTGTTCACGAGTGTTGATCTTCAGTTGTTATTACAGTTTCATGGACAGTATTCAGGAGAAGCTATCAATACCCATGAGAAGTCGTTTCCGCGATTCGTTGAGGTGGCGGACGATGGGTGGAAATGGGATGTCACAAGCTGATGCCGCTAGACGTCTGAATGTCTCTAGTAGTGTGGTGTACCGAGTATGGAATCAGTTTGAATCCGAGGATTCTCTGTCTAGAACACATGTTCCATGCAAACCTAGAGTTACAACACCTGCGGGAGGACATTATTTAGCTCTTTCGACCCGAAGGAAGAGTAACAATACTGTGCCTCAGTTCATGACAGATCATTTAATGGCAACAGTGAGCAGAATCCAAAGAAAGAAGAATCTTAGAAACAAGAATGTCAGCTACCACAGTGCCCAGATGCCTGTACAATACAGGTCTGTATGCAAGACCACCATTTGTTTGTGTCCATTTGTTCCGAGGACATACAGATGCCCGTTTATGTTGGGCAAGAGAACACGTCTCTTGAATCAGTCAACAATGGGCATCGGTTCCCTTCACAGACGAGTCCAGGTTCACACTGAGAATGATTCAGGTCGTTATCTGATCTGGAGGGGACAACGCACTAGATACAACCAATCCCACATTGTGGAAAGAAACAGTTACAGAGTGGTATATAATGGTTTGGGCTGAGATTTCTCTTGCTGCTCACACTGACTAGCCTGTGTTTTATGGAGGAACTTTGACCTGTGTGAGATATAGAGATGAGATCCTTGATCAATATGTCCGCCTATTAGCCGCTGCTATTTGTCCTATATTTCTTCTGATGGACGATAATGCGCGACAACACCAAGCTGGCTTGCTGAAGAATATCTTGAGGGTCACGGTATGGAGCGGATCGAATGGCCAACTCAATCCCCAGACCTGAATTCGGTAGCGCATCTTTGGGACTTTTCTGGAAGACAGGTTGTTGCTTTAAGTCCTCCTCTAAAGCCGTTAGATGAGCTTGAACAAGGATTACTCAATGTCTGGGCGTTGCTTCCCATTTCACTGACTGATAACTTAATTGACAGCATGGAACGTCGCTGCCGCCAATGTATTGCAGCTAAGGATTGACACATTCCTGATTAGAACCCATTTTTGTAATGTTACCACCCTATTTTGTCTAAAAAAAACTGTGATATACTCATCCTTCAAGAGTGGATTTCTCTGCCAAGAGTGTAAATGTTTGTTGTAATTCATGTTTCTGTTGAATCTATGCCGCATTCATTAAAGAACTATTTAGTGAACATGTCCTGTAAATTTCGTGTTTCTCTGTTGTTTCATTCTCAAATCAGACACAAGAAACATATTGTTCTTTAAATTTTGGACGAAATGTATTTTGCAAACATCTTAATATCAAATTTTTAAACTTCTTATCTAAGAATAATCCCTTAATATTTATAAAGTAAGAAATATTAATATATTTATAAGTTAAAAAATAGCATTCAAATGTGCTTAGATTGTCATCTTCGAAAAAAAAATGAAATTTATACCAATATGACTGAAAAGAAAAATTTGTGATTTGTATAAAAATTTAGCGTCTTTTTGAATTTTACAATTTACGAGCTATCAGTACTTATCTCAGTTTTTTTAAAATTTCCTTTGTAAATTTGATCGATATGGGCGTTTATGATTATCATTTATGATTTATTTATGATTGGATTTATGATTATTATGGTCGAGATTATCAACATTTACTTGAAATAACTATGTATACATAAACTGACAATTCAGAATTGTATTTTTTTCCCTAAGATTGTTATTTTCATTATATGGGTCTCTTCAAAAAATTTTATCACAGCATTATTCCTTAATTTAATTCTATTTAATGTATATATTTCCACTTGATGATTCCTTTGTTACAAAGTGCCAGTATCGTAAGTAAGGAGTTAGAAAAATAGGATAAAAGTTAATAGAATTTTTGAAGTAGGAAACGGGAAAAAATGGGAGATATCCTCCTCGGGACTCGAACCTGGACCTCTCAAGTACGTGCCGAATGTGCTACCCTTACACCTCGAAGGCATACTGGAAGGAGGGAGAAAATATCTTACACTAAACCGAGAAAGAATAAAATTAATAATTAAGTACTGTTTTCCATACAAACATTTTTGCTGTTAAAGCTAGAATAGGAAATGCAACAAATCGACTTGCTTAGTATACAAAATAACTAAGTCTGATAATTATATTTAACATTTTAGTCTTAACATAAAATTGATAGTCTTGATGCCTTAATATAAAATTCGATGGTCTTGGGAGTAATTGACTCATCTAAGGAAGCTGGTCATTACGAAAAGACTCACTATGTAATGTTTCACAGAACTTAAGTACCCATAATTATAAATAATATATACACATTTCTGGAAATTTTGACTTGAAATGAACCAATCTTTGATGGAATTCAATTCAGCCAGAAAAGCAGCTCTTACATCGTTATAATGGGTACATATTATTCTGTTACAACACGGAAAAGGACAATTCAGGCCATGAAATTTTGAAGGGGAGATTATTTGAAGTGTGATATATTGTTACCTGAGTGGCCGGAATACCCCTTAAAGATGCCCTTCCATATGCATAGTCTTTCATGAAAAATGCCCAGCAGTCATCGCATGAGCAGACAGAAGAGCCGAAAAAGGTACTTTCGTCCGAAACAGATCGTCGAAAGGGCTGAGGTCGATGAAAATGCCCTTCGTCCTGCTTCCATTGGTGAGATCGTGCAGATCTCGCGGAAGGTGCATTAGAACGAACAGTTCCTCTTCTACTTCGAAGGCGGCGCAACAGTTCTTTCTCTTCCCAAGAAAGATCAGAAGTCCAGCTGTCCGAATGTCTGCCTTTATGAAAACGACGAGCTCCTGTAAGTCCGTCATAATATTCATCACATTGCCCTCTCTTTAAAGCAGCGCTTCTCTCTTCTTGAGAACGCCTGCTATGACGTCTACAATTCTTGCTATGAGAATGTCTAGATCTTCTTTCCTTTCGATTTCGCTTTACTGGAGATGGTGGTACAGGATTTTCTGTAGAAGGAAGCACGGAAGGCGTTGGCTCAGCTGTAGCTTCAGATGAAATTTGATCTCCCCGTGTTATACCACTGTCTTCAGAAGGTGGCTTGTGGATATCATTTTCTCTTGTTTGTGCAGTGTCGGCATTTGTGTTTGAAATGCTTGTTGTCATCTTTCGTTCCGGTGAACAATTACTTTCAGATACATCACTATTCCGCTTATTTAAATTTGAAACTTGTTTTATGACTTTTTGCTTGGAATTACCTTTTGGACTGCTCGATAGATTCTTAGATATGCTAACAGGATTATTTTTCGCATGTGAAGAATTTTCACATATAACTTTTGGAGCTGTTTCTTCATTTGCTGTTTTAGTGTCCTTAAAAGGTAAAGAGGATACTTCTTTTGATGAGAGTTTTTCTTTTGAAATTGCTGTTAACGTTTTGGCAATTTTGTCACCAGTTTTTGAAGAATTCGCAAGAGACAACACACCCCCTTCGGATGCTGCGCTTGGAGCTTGCACAGGTTTACTATTATTTGCATTTTCCTTAATATTAGTTTCAACTTGATCTGATTTTTGAATTTTTCCTGCCTTAACCTTATGTACGCTTGCAGAAGGGGTTGAATTTCTGGTCAGACTTGAATCTGACTTTGTTTTACTATTACCTTGTTTTGGAGCGTTGGCTATTTCAGCAGATCTCGAGTTATTGGTGCTCTGATTTTCAACCAAATTACTTTGATGATTTTCCTTATCAATAGAAGGTTCTGTGGGTGGTGGTGGTGGAAATTTGAAGATATTTTAGATAATGACTCTTTTTCTAGATTTTCTTCATTGGAATCTTTTATGGGAGTAGTCTTTGATTCCTCAGTTTTAGTGACAGAAAAACCTTTCTTAGGAGACGAAATCTCAGTTTTAGTAGAAATTTCATCATCATGTGGTGATCCTTGGAATTTTTTTATTAACTCATCAATTGCACGAGCTCTAAATTTTGGTTTCTTCTTCGTTTCTGGAACTGATTCTGTTACTGGAGGTGAAGGAGACTTATCCTCTTTAACCTTAAACCGTTCTTTGCCTGGAGAATTTTTAGTATTATTAGAGGAAGAAGGATTCTCTTTAGTTGAAGATCCTGAGGTATGAACTGTATTATTTTGAGATGCTATGTGCTCATTATTTTCTAAAGTGTTCGTTTTTTTAGAATTTGATTTATCACGAGGTTTCCTGTCATTTTCAGACGCAGCGTGAAGCTTAGATTGTTGCCTTTTTTTAGACTTTTGATCATTCGTAGAAACACTAATAGGAGAACTTTCTTCTTTTTTAACATTCATTGATGTGTTTGATATTTGACCATCGTGTAAAAACGAAGTTTGAGGTAAATTTTGCGAAGTAGATGGCTTAGAAACTTCCGTTGCCTTTGGTTGGTAAAATGATTTGACGTTTTGATTGCCATCAAAAACTTCATTAGGACTGTTTGTCGCTTTTTCTACACTAATCGGTTTACTGCTGGTATCAATAACCTCTTTAGAACTGTCTGATGATCCTCCTAGCTTATCAGGATTAACGCTAGTATCAGGACTGTTTTTTGAATTCCCTAGCGATTTTTTTAATTCAGCTGGGTTGATAAAAGTATCAGGGCTGTTTTTTGAATTGTCTGAGGGTTCTTTTAATCTAATAGGGCTAGTGATTTCATGCGTCGGAGATGTGCTTTCTTTACTATCTTGAGGAGCTGGTTCGTTTAAAGCCTGTGGAACGGAAACATCAACGAGGGCTGTGACATCGGAAGTGCCTTTGTTATTTTGACCATCAGGAGTTTCAGTCTTTAGAGCAGAAGATTCAACAGCAATCAAAGAACCCTCAGTTTGTTTTAGAGAAGAATCTGCCGAAGCTTCGCTGTCTTCGTATAATGGGTTCACAGTAGATGGGTCTTCAAAATGGATATCTCCATTCTCAGGTAAGAGTTGAGGCCTTTTTCTATGTGCTTTCCAATGACCAAGCAAAAGCTTTAGCATGCCTCTTTCCTAAAAAATGGGAAGATAACTAAATAAATAAAATGTATTTAAAAGCATTTTTAAATTCAATGGTAACATCAGAGAAATGAGAGTCTTAAATGTGTTAAAAACTTCGAAAATTTGTAAAATTTGTTTAATTAATCAGTTATTTTTTATGTTGCTCTTTCCTATTTTTCCGTCGGCTGTTATCAGAGCACATATCAAGTAATAAAGTAACTCATATTTAGAGAGCATGAAATGGCAATTCTAAGCCTTCTTTGCAAAACATACAGCAAACCCTTAAAAGCAGCAGACTTTTAGCTGCTGTACTAATGAAAACTGGTGAGTGATTTGATTAATCTTTTAAAATCTAGGCTTAAACAGAGGAAAATGATACTGAAATCTAAGATTTGTAAGGGTAAATTTATTTGTGTGCTCATAAACGCAAATATTCTGTAATTGAAATTTCCGCAAGTAGCGGTGGGTAATTTTTGTTGATTTTGAGTTTTAACTGTAATCGACTAGGAACAGAAAATAAATAATTTAGTTCTTTAAAATCTTAAAAAAGTTGTCGTATGTGATGTTTATCCTGATGTTTACAGTAAGAAATTAAACTTAGGTAACGTAAGAGTATTTAGATAAAATTAGTTCCCATTTATTATCTTTCTTTCCATTTTTCTATTAAGGGGGAGGGAGATTTACACTGAAGTGACAAAAGTCATGGGATAGCAATATGCAATATACAGATGGCAGTAGTATCGCGTAGAAAATGTATAAATGCGAAGTGCTTTACAGGGCTTTCATTTGTGTTCAAGTTATTCATGTGAAGAGGCTTTGATGGGATTATGGCCGCACGACGAGAATTAACAGACTTTGAACGCGGAATGGTAGTTGGAGCTAGACGCATGGGTCTTTCCATTTCGGATATCGTTAGGGAATTCAACATTCCGAGATCCACAGTGTCAAGAGTGTGCCGAGAGTATCTAATTTCAGGCATAACATCCCACCATGGACAGCGCAGTGGCCGACTACCTGCACTTAACGACCGAGACAAGCGACGTCTGCGTAGAGTCAATGTTCACAGACAAGCAACACTGCGTCAAATAACCGCAGAAATCAATGTGGGACGTACGAGGGACGTGTCCGATAGGACAGTGCGGCGAAATCTGTCTTCCTTGGGCTATGCCAGCAGAAGACCGACTCGAGTGCCTTTACTGACAGCACGACATCGCCTGCAGCGACTCTCGTGGGCTCGTGAGCATATCGGTTGGTCCCTAAACGAATGGAAAACCGCGCTTTGGTCAGATGAGTCCCGATTTCAGTTGGTAAGAGCCGATGGTAGGGTTCGAGTGTAGCAAAGACCCTACGAAGCCATGGACCCAAGTTGTCAACAAGGCACTGTTCAAGCTGTTGGTGGTTTCATAATGGTCTGGGCTTTTTTTACATGGCATAGACTCGGTCCTCTGGAGCAACTGAACCGATCATTGGCTGGAAATGGATATCTTCAGCTACTTGGAGATCACTTACAGCCATTCATGGACTTCACGTACTCAAACAACGATGGGATTTTTATGGATGACAATGCGCCATGTCACCGGGCCACAATTGTTCGCGATTGGTTAGAAGAACATTTTGGACAGTTCTAGCGAATGATCTGGCCACCTAGATCGCCCGACATGAATCCCATCGAACATTTATGGGACATGATCGAGAGGTCAGTTCGTGCCCAAAACCCTGCACCGTCAACACTTTCACAATTATGGACGTCTATAGAGGCAGCATGGCTCAATATTCCTGCAGGGGACTTCCAACGACTTGTTGAGTCCATGCCACGTCGAGTTGCTGCACTTCGCCGGGCAAAAGGAGGACCGAAAATATTAGGAGGTATCCCATGACGTTTGTCACTTCAGTGTACAGCATGATTTGAATAACCATTCCGCCAACATTTGAAAGGTGTATTAAACAGGTACCCTGAAACTTGTAGCGTTTCAGCTTATCGAAATTTCCAAATCGGACGCTTGTAGATGAGAAATGCTAACTTATATAAGATACACAAAACTTGTAAAATATACCGTACAAGTTTACTCTAATTTTATTAACAGTTTTAATTTTAACTTCTTTCCTATCAAATCTTTAACTTCAACTTACGACTTCCTGCCAGAACGTAGTTTTAGAATCACGTCTGAATACTTAATGAGGAGGAGACGTATTTAAACCACGAAGATCTACTTGATGAGTTAGAGAGAATCCGAGTTTCTGATTTGCGCGCGTCTGCCTTTTGGCTACTCTCTCTCTCAAAGCTGTTATTACGCTCGGCCGTACTCAGGCCCTTGATAAGCTTCGAGTCAAATAGAGTTAAGGGGCCAACTCGAATCTTGATAGCTTCGGCTATATCTCTTTAGTTAATCTTTGTTTTAGTTTATTTCTTAGTCTCAAGTTCAAGCCCAAGTGTCGGCTTTTATTGTACACTCCAAGATGGGGTTCTGTTAAATCTTATTGGAATAATAAAGGATTAGTTACTCTTCCATCTTGTTGTTTCTTGTTACACGAACTTAAGCGATTATTCGCTAACTAGTTCTTAAGGTTACTTACTTTTGACTGCAAATACACAGTGGTAAACTTCACAACCAAACAGAATATTGATAAAATGCAATTCAAGAAAAACTATACAAATATTTCTATTTTGTTTTTAAACAAAAATAATGTACATAGATACATTAATAAAACAAAATTAAACAAATTGTTTGAATAAAATCTAGAAAAGGAGAGAAACAAATGAATTATTATGATCAATATTTTGCTGCAGCCGGAAATATACAGCTAGGTGAGTTAAACAGAAATTCTGTAAGCAAGGCATTTAATATGGGGCATATAATTAATAAAATTATTTTTTATTAATTATATTTTTATTAATAAAATTATATTTTTTAAAAATTATGCTAATAATCTGAACGTAAATGAAATTAGCTAATCAGTGAAAATTATCAAAATAATATCATAAGATTCAAATTATTTTTAAACTGTAAACTTTGTAATACTGATCAGCAATGTAATATGGTAATTTGGAAGAAAAATAAAAGATTTTAAGTAGCATGTATTGGAGAAAGCTAACTATTTTTCAAAACAAAACCTATTACAAAAAGAGAGAACTGCAACTACTGAAAGAGCTCTTTCGGAGCTAATGATAAAAATATGGTTGTTAATTCAGTAGTCAATAAGAAATAATAATATGGTTGTTAATTCAATTATATTCTATGCACTTAAAAAAAAATGAGAGTCACAAATGTGTACAATTAAAAATACCAGAAAACAATAAATTTACAGGATTTGTGTTTCATAATTCTTTAAAAGTGAATTTTTTTTATAAAAGTATTTAACTGTAATTTATTTGTAAATGTATTTAACTCAGTAGTTCTGAAAATGTTTTGCCTCAAGCACCTCCTTCACTACTGCTAGACAATCATTCCCCCTTTCCAAAACGCGAAAAATACATATACATTTATTTAATTTCAGATTATTTTGTAACGTGTTTTATAAATTAAAAAAGAAAAAAAGTATAGAAAATGTTGATAAAGAAAAAATTTAAATCAAAGTAGGTTTTTTTTTTTTTTTTTTTTTTTTTTTTTTTTTTTTTTTTTTTGTAGTACAAACTGAAACTAAATGCTTTACACGTAAATACACTGCCCTCCAACTGTTAAGGATCAGCATGTTTTTCAAAGCTCACCATTATAAAAATGTCAATAACTTTAAAATTCACATTTTAGAATGCATGATAGTAAGTTCAAGAAAATATATGCAAAAACAATAGCTACCACTTTTATTTTATAGAAATGAAAACTCATATAGGAGTTGGAGAAGAAATGCATATATCAAAGCTTTCGATCGAGTGTGGCATGCTGGCTTACTTCATAAGCTATCTAACTTCCTTTTACCAAACAGCTTTATCAAGCTATCAGGACTTGTGTTCCTCTTGACTTGCTTTGGAAACATGAACTGTCCTGACACGGAACAGGGAGCTTACTCAAGCTATGTTCAATAAATTGTGAAGTAGACAATATACACAGGAAGGGTATACGAAAGCCTTTATATTTCTATCTTTACAGATACTTCCAGAACTTCGGAATACAGAGACCAACCACTTGTGGTCTGAACGTAAGAATATAAAACTACTAACTAAAAAAATAACTTTGAATTAGTATACAAGTGCCTAGCATTAAGATTGGCCTTTATTTAACAAAGGTCCGTAGGTCGTACGCCGAGCTGCTAAAACTACGATACGTTTGAAATTATCAAGAGGACTAAACCTCTGGCCTTGAAGGCAACCAGCAACCGAGTGAAAACTCGTAAAACTACTATGGCAAGCGGCTTGCTTCCAATAACTCCTTCCTCTATCTTGCCTGGCAAAAAAACCACAAATTAAGTACTTGGCGTTAGCAAGACAAATTTGCATAAATAAGTTTAATCTTTTAATTCTGGCCGGAAGTAGAAAATAAGAAGTGATAGTAAAGATTTAAAATAAAATAAACGTTAGTAAAACTTAGGATCCTTACAAAGCTTATGCATTCTTATTTTAAATTTATCGTATTTTTTAAGTGCGCTGTGGTGAAGCAATTTCTTCAAAAAAAGGGATTTACAATAGAGTAGCTCAAGGCAGTGTTTTAGGACCGAAGCTTTTTACAATATTCATAAATGATATGCCTCTACCTTTCATTCTAATATACTCAAATATGCCGACGACACAGTCATCCTCACCAGTTCACGAAGTCCAAATAATGCTTTAAAGAAACTTCAGCTCCAAGTCAACATTATTAATAAATTTTGTCAAGACTGGAAAATCAAACTAAATACTGATAAATGCTGCGTAGTTCTCTTCCGCAGATACAGAAAAAATATCCCAGTGAATATAAATATCCGACTCAATAATTAAGATATTCCTGTTGCCCACTCCCATAAATACTTAGGTGTCTATATTGACAAAACCCTAAATTTCAAAGATCATATTCAATATGTTACAAATAAGGCTAACGCTG